ATGACACAAGCCTGTAGTCCCAGCTACTTGGGAGGCTGAAGTGGGAGGATCGCTTAGGCTGGGGAGGTCGAGGCTGCAGTGAGCTGTGATCCCACCACTGCCCACTGCACTCCAGCCTGGGTGACAGAGAGAGACCTTGTCTGAAAAAAAAAAAAAAAAAAGCTCACGAACTATTCTCCCATCCCTGTCACACTTCAACCTTGAAACTACTGCCCAGAGCAGCCCAGGGTTTATCCCTCTGTTGCACACTGGAAAATGAAGACTCAGAGAGGCTGTGTGCTTTGTCTGAGGTCACACAGTAAGTGAGGGGCACAGTGAATGCCAAGCCTGGCCCAGGAGGGGAAGGAGAGCGTGTGAGCCAGGCACAGGGTCCAAACATGGGGCGTTGGTGAGCAAACCCCTTGTCCTGCCCTGGGGACCAACCCCTGGGAAAACCAGATACTTCCCAGGCCAGGGCGCGCTGCACGTGCTATTTTGAGTTCTCTTGCATATGACACAAGCAACAGGAATTTGGGGAGACCCAGGCCATTTGCTATGTTGGGAACAAAACAGCCTGTGGTGGCAGCCAAGGATGGGGCCGTGGGGGATGAGAGTCACCAGGGTGGCGTCGGGAAAGTGAGGGCTGAAGTCCGAGCCCAGAGGCCTGTGGGGTCGGGGGTACAGAGAGGGGAGAAGGCTGGGAGGGGCCCCTGGAGTGAAGCCCTGGGAGAGGGAGGGGGTCAGGGATACAGAGAGGGGAGAAGGCTGGGAGGGGCCCCCGGGGTGAAGCCCCAGGAGAGGGGGTCAGGGATACAGAGAGGGGAGAAGGCTGGGAGGGGCCCCCGGGGTGAAGCCCCAGGAGAGGGGGTCGGGGATACAGAGAGGGGAGAAGGCTGGGAGGGGCCCAGGGGATAAAGCCCCGGGAGAAGCGGGGGCCAGTCAGGCCTGCCTGGGAGGACAGCCAGTGGGGTGGAAGCTGGGGCCTTGCCAGGTCTTAGGCCGGGGCCCTGGACACTCCCGCTGAGACAAGGATTTCAGCACAAGTAGTGTGTTTGGGTGGAGAGACTGGGAAGAGGGGGAGGGAAGGAGGGAAGGGGTGCAGGGGAGGGGAGAAGCCAAATTACGGGGATTTTCAGCAGTGGCAGCAGGGCTAGGCCCCATGGAGACCTCTGGGAGACCACATAGAACAAGCCTCGGAGGTATTGGGGAGGTGGGGAAGCAGGGTGTTCTCCCCACTCCCGGTGGTCGCTGGCCATGGCTGGGAGCTGTTCCTGGGGTACAAATCTCCCTGCGTGGAGGGGCCGGCAAGGGGGCACCACCAGTCTGTCCTGGGTCGGGGAGTGCAAACATGCGGCGGACAGCACCACACACCCCTGCAAGGAGGCAGTGCCGAGCTCAGACCCTCCCCACACTCCCCACACACCCAGCACCCGCGGTTTGAGGCTGCAGTGAGCTGTGGGCATGGCAGCTCCAGCCACGCGGCAGAGCGAGACTGTCTCTAAAAAAAGGTTTTTAGAGACAAAGGCAGTTAGGACTTTCACTCATCTTCTTTTCTGTTTATTTATTTATTTCCTTTGAGGCAAGGTCTAGCTCTGTCGCCCAGGCTGGGGTGCAGTGGCACAATCACAGCTCACTGCAGTCCCGACCTCCCCAGCTTAAGCCATCCTCCCACCTCAGTCCCAAGCAGCTGGGCCACAGGCGTGTGCCACCACATCCAGCTATTCTGTTTCTTGGTTGTAGAGACGGGGTCTTGCTATGTCGCCAAGGCTAGTCTTGAACTCCTGGGCTCAGTGATTCTCCCTCCTTGGCCTCCCAAAGTTTTGGGATTATAGGCATGAGCCACTGCACACGGCGAATTTTTTTTATTATTATTAAAACAAAAATAAAAACAAGCACACAGATAAATAAAAAGTACAGGCCAGGCGCAGTGGCTCACACCTGTAATCCCAGCAATCTGGGAGGCCAAGACAGACGGATCACCTGACCTCAGGAGTTTGAGACCAGCCTGGCCAGCGTGGTGAAACCCCGTCTCTACTAAAAATACAAAAATTAGCCAGATGTGGTGGTGCTCACCTGTAATCCCAGCTACTAGGGAGGCTGAAGCAGGAGAGTTGCTTGAACCCAGGAGGCAGAGCTTGCAGTGAGTCAAGATCGTGCCACTGCACTCCAGCCTGGGAGACACAGCGAGACTCCATCTCAAAAATAAAATAATATAAAATAAAATAAAAATAAAAGGTACAAACTGGACTTGTGCTACAAAGGGACTGATGAAAGGAACCAACGTAACCCACCCCCCAGACTGTGTGTTATTCGCCCACAGAAAGCAGTGAGGCATCAATACCGGTTTCAATGGGAGTGGATCTTGGAAACATGACACTGAGTGAAGGAAGCTCGAAAGGCCACATATTACGTGATTCCATTTATACAAAATGTCCAGAATAGGCAGGTCCCGAGAGAGAAAGCAGCTTTACGGTTGCCAGGGCCTGGGGGGAGGGAGGAAGAGGGAGAGACTGCTAACAGGGATAGGGTTTCCTTTTGGGGTGATGAGAACATTCTGAAATTGGAAAGTGGTCATGGTTGTTCAACCTTGTGAATATACTAAAAACCATTGAAGGGTATCCTTTCAAAAGAGCCCATTTTATAGTAAGTGAATGATGGTGCAATTTTCAAAAGCGCACACACAGCAGGGCCATCTTTAAAAGAGATAAGGCCGGGCGCGGTGGCTCAAGCCTGTAATCCCAGCACTTTGGGAGGCCGAGGCGGGCGGATCACGAGGTCAGGAGATCGAGACCATCCTGGCTAACACGGTGAAACCCTGTCTCTACTAAAAAAAATACAAAAAACTAGCTGGACATGGTGGCGGGTACCTGTAGTCCTACTACTCAGGAAGCTGAGGCAGGAGGATGGCGTGAACCCGGGGGCGGAGCTTGCAGTGAGCCGAGATGGCACGACTGCACTCCAGCCTGGGCGACAGAGCGAGACTCCGTCTCAAAAAATAAAAAAAAATAAAAGAGATAAACGGGGAGAGCCTCTGGGGGGAGGCGCCGCTTCAGCTGAAGTCCAAAGGCTGATGAGGGTCCGCCATGCCCTGGGTACAGACAGGGAGGCAGGAGGAGCCTCAGTGTGCAGGGGAAGTGCTGGGAGCCGTGAGCTTGAGAGGAGATGACCCAGAGGAAGTGAGGGGCAACTGCAGACCCCGTGGGGCCTGGTGTCCGTGTTGAGAGGTTTAGACCTCACTCTGTGAGCAAGGAGAAGGCCACCAGAGGGTCTTGAGCAAGGGAGAGAAACATGTGGGATTTGTGCTTTTTAGAGGCCCCTGGGGGAGGCCTGGGGGGATTAGAGAGGAAGGAGGCCAATGCTCCAGGGGGACCAGGTGCCTCTGGGACGCGATGGCTTGAGACTGGGCTGCGGTTACCTGGTGCAAGCAGCCATTCCTCGCTGGGCCTGAAGAGGAGCCGCGGTGGGGGCAGCTTGCTCTGGGGTGGCCGAACCTCACGATGTCTTAAAGGTGGCAACCCTGCCCTCAGACAATGAGCCCCAGGCTGCAAGAGAAAAGTCTGGGGGTGTTCCGGCACAGAAAGGGGCTCCACAGGAGACCCACCTCAGGGCTTTGCGGTGAGCTGAGGGTGAGTGAGACCCGGTGGGGCGGGGCCAAGGCCAACCCCACAGCTGCCCTGGGACCAGACTCTGAGCTGGCCTTGCGGGCGTTTTACAGCAGGGGACCCAGAGCCCGGAGGTGGGAGGGGAGGCTCCGGGATAGACTTGAGGTCGGGCGGGGCTGGGGGTCACGCACTCAGGGAGGGCTCGTCCTTCCACGGCCTGCCAGGGGCGGATCTCATCTCAGCTAGGGGGCCCTGGCAGTTCATGGGCAAGGCCTACTCTGTCACTGCAGCTTGCCCCTGTGGAGCTGAGAAGCCCTCACTCATCTCCCGTGGCTAGTAATGTACGTGAGCAGCTTGGAGAGTGGGCAGTGTCCCCCAGCCCAGCAGCCAGGACCAGGAAGCTACTCAGGGACTGATGCCAAAGACAGCCTCTGTTCCCCTGCTGCGCTGGCTGAGTCCTCCACGCTGAGGACATTCACCACGCACCAAACCCCCACTAAGCATCTCCTGCGTGCCAGGTCCTTGCTGGGCACTGGGGTCAGCAGCATATGTGCCATGGTGCCCATCCCTGGGGAGAGGCAAACAAGCTCACCACAGGGACAATCTCACCGCACACCCCCCGAGGCCAGGAGCCAGGTCAGTCTCATTTACCCCAGGGTAACACACAGAGACTCAAAACATAGTAGCTGCTCAGCAAACGTTGGTTGGCCGCACGATTGAACCCATGCGTGTTGAATGGAGTCAGGAGCAGCAGCGCTTACGGAAGCGACAAACTGAGCTTGGGGTAAGGAGCAAGGCTTCATGAGGAGGCTTCCTGGAGGAGGTGACATCTGAGCTGGGCCCTGAAGGATGCATGGAAGTTTTCCAAGAGACAGTGGTAAAGAAAATAGTGTGATCACAAACTAAGAGGCAGAAAAGGGCCTGCACCAACCAGGGACCCCAGCAGTCCATGGCAGGGCAGGGGCTGGAAAGCCGGGGAAAGTTCTCCAGAAGGACTGTGGCTCTCCAGTCCCTCTCCACCTGGAGCCCCTTTGGGCTGGGCCAAGCCAGCATAATTCATCCCGCTCCTGGCTTGGCTGAGGGTCCCCCTACTCCTGTTCCGGAAGCCTCTTTCCCAGATGAGGCTGAAGATTGCACGGGTCAGGACGGAGGTGAGGGAGCTCCGCATTTCTACCAGAAGTGACTTTGGTAAAGCTCAGACCTGGGAGGACATGCATGGAACGTGGTGGTGGCTCTCCCCATCTCAGGGAGAGAACTCGGGCTTTGCAGACCTCCCTGCAGGGACCGCCCCCACCGCCCACCTGCAGAAAGAGGCCTCAAAACCACGCAGCCACACCCTCCCCTATAGTCAGGAAAGCTGCTAGGGCCTGCGTGCGTTATCAAGGTGGGAGGGGGGCATGCCAGGACCAGACCCAGGACTCAGCATGGTGGAGCACGGGCTGGGATTCAGCCCCACTTACCCTCTCAGCCAAGGGCACTTGAGGAGTACACAACCCAGCAACAGGACAGGGCAGCCCTGTTTACAGCTCTATCCGTAGGGTCTCTGCAGTCTCAAGACAGAGGCCAGGCCCTGAGACATGTCATGCTCTGCTCTTTGGAGCTTCTCATTTCCCCTGAAAAACACTGGGAGCTGCCATCCACACTGCGGCTTTTATAACGAATGTTTCTGCTACTTTTCGGTAAGTGGGTTTAAAAGCAATTTTGGGAAGATGGGACAGTGATGCCGTAGTTTTTTTACCTCCCCAAATTCTCCAACAATTGACAGAGCACCTAGGATAGCAAAACCAAAAACCTCTGGATAACAGCCACAGTGAGACTAGGTGGCAAGGTGTCCACAGCACACAAGCAGGTGGGTACAAGTCACTGACAGCCACAAGCCTTGCATGGTATCAGCAACCGCAGGAGAGGGAGAGGAGAGAAGTCAATGCAGAGGGGGATTCTGATGATCCTGAGATCTGGAGAGACCCCCAAATCACAAGCAAGGACTCCCTGGAAAGCCCATGGTCCAGTCAGAGAACAAGAGTCAAAGCAGGGAGACTCACAGCCTTCCGTCCACTCGCAGGCGCCTGCAAGGAGAAAGCAGCAAGGCAGATGGTGCGGGAGCCATTGGGCCACGGACTCTTGAAATTGACCAAATGCAACTCACTTGCACGACAAAGTCCGGCACCGAGAAGACATTGCTGGGGGTAGTAGAATCCAAATTGACCAGGGCAGAAGCAGAAAGGAAAACAGGTCCCAATAAAACGGAGAGAAGAGAGCAGAGGCAGCAGGTTGCAGAAAGCAAGGGGCTGTATTTACCATCTCTTCTCAGAACTAGTAGGTTGGTGCACAAGTAATTGCAGTTTATTACTTTTGCACCAACCTAATAATAACAGAGGGCGCTCTCGAGGGAGCTATCCTGGCCCATCTTTCCCCCAGAGATATTCAGAAAGAGGTGTCTCACTGTGGGGGACAAATGATCAACAGGAAGTGTTGTCCAAACCCATACAGAGGTGCTATACAAAAAGAGAGACAGGCCGGGCGCGGTGGCTCACGCCTGTCATCCCAGCACTTCGGGAGGCTGAGGCAGGCGGATCACCTGAGGTCAGGAGTTCAAGACCAGCTTGGCCAACATGGTGAAACCCCGTTTCTACTAAAAAAAAAAAAAAATTCACAGGGCATGGTGGTGTGTGACTGTAATTCCAGCTACTCAGGAGGCTGAGGCAGGAGAATCACCTGAACCCGGGAGGTGGAGGTTGCAAGTGAGCCGAGATCGCACCACTGCACTCCAGCCTGGGAGACAGAGCGAGATCTGTCTCAAAAAGAGAGAGACAGGCTGGGCACAGTGGCTCACACCTGTAATCCCAGCACTTTGGGAGGCCGAGGCAGGCGGATCACCTGAGGTCAGAAGTTCGAGATCAGCCTGACCAACGTGGTGATACCCTGCCTTTACTAAAAATAGAAAAATTAGCCGGGCATGGTGGCACAGGCCTATAACCCTAGCGACTCAGAAGGCTGAGGCAGGAGAATTGCTTGAACCCGGGAGGCGGAGGTTGCTGTGAGCCAAGATATTGCCATTGCACTCCAGCTTGGGCAAAAACAGTGAAACTCCATCTCAAAAATAAAAATAAAAATAAAAGAGAGAGACTAAGGAGCAGAATGACAGCTCTACCCAGCCAACAATGGTGTGCCCAAAGGACACGCCCTCAAAACAGACAGAAGCAGTTGCTTTAACACAGATAATCATAATATCTATGATTTTAGATATTAAGAAACTAATAGAAGTTATGGAAAATAGCATACATCAGAACTAGAAAAACTCAGAAATGAAGCAATGGGTGAAAAGGAAAAGTTGTAAAGAGATGATGAAATCAGAAAGGCGTCAAATAAAGAGAAAACTAATAAGAAATGAATATTGAAACTGAAAGGAGTAAAGGGCAAAAATGAGTACCACAGTAAACCTTAGAGAGAAACAGACTAAGGAAAAGCAGGCTGGCAGGACTCTCTGCCTGCGGTCAACAACTACCTCGGGCCAACTAAGGAGGGGAGGATCACTTGAGGCCAGAGTTCAAAAAGTCCCAACCCTTGGCAAAACAAGACTCTCATCTAGAAGGAGGAAGGAAGGAAGGGAGGGAGGTAGCCCATACCTGGTAATCCCAGCACTTTGAAAAGGCTGAACAGGGCAGAATCCTTGTACCAGCAAAGTTGTGGACCAAACCTGGCCAACACTGCGAAACCCCATCTCTCTACAAGAAAATACAACAAATTAGGGCCCCAGGTGTCGTGCGTGGCTGTGAGTCCCAGCTCGTACTGCCGGGAGGCTGAGACGGGAGCAGTCACTGAGCCCGAGGTTGAGGCTGCAGAGAGCCTGTGATCATGCCACCGCACCGCACTCAGCCTGGGGTGACATTAAACACATTCCATCTGAGTTGGGAAACGGAAAGCAGGGCCACTCATGCATTCCAGAGAAAAGGCTACTGTAGAAATCAGGGCTTCCACAAATGTAGGAGGAGCTGAGGCGGGCTGGGAAGGTGTGGGGAAGCTTGCCCTGCAGTCTTCACCAGCGATTCCCATGGAGCAAGGCCCTGCAGAAGGCAAATGGACTCGATGTGTAGCTGTTGCACACAGAACGTGATGGTAAAATAAGAGTTTGCATCCTTGGAGTCGGAGGCACACGTTCCTACGCACTGGGATTTGGCTTGGGGAAAAAATACGCTCAGGGGGCCTTTTAAATATCAGTTCACCTAAAGTACCAGACAACCACTGGTGCCTGAAGGAAGCCATAGCCTCTTTGTAGCCACTGAGTTGGAGAGATCAAAAGAACCAACCCCAAA